AATCTCAAAAACTATGCATTGCACTTTGTGCAGATTTTGCCTACATCGTCTAAAATTTGCATGTAAATTTATTTTTACTTGCTTTGATGGGACCCCGACGGGTCTTTAATAAAAATAATTGAATTGAATTGAATTGAGCTGATGGGTGAGTGTAGGCAGCTATAATAATAAAAGGGTGGGAAACCATGTCTAGCTTGGAAGTCAAAGGAGGTAAGTTGACGTACCTGAGAGCAATTGGCCTTTGGTGGTGGGAAGCCTGAACTAGGTTGGGACATAAATGACTAAGGGTAATTCGCCTATGAATTATTTGCTAAATATGAAGTAGGGTTTTGATAAGTAACCGGTACACAGGACAGAGAATTATTTGGAGATATAATTGGATCTGCGAAGTTTGTGGACGTGCTGGGCTGTAAAGACTTGGTAGATCTAAGAGAAGGCGGCGTACCCCTAAATGCATCTGTACTACCTTTCTTTCGGGTCGGAGTTTGATTCAGTTTTCGAGTCTTACCGTTCTGACGCGAAGCCACGGGTGACTTAACCGTAGAGCTTGCAGCACACAATTGAGGAGGGGAAGTTATCGGCCTAGCTGATGTAAACGGATTTTCATGTGTCCCGGCGGGGTTATCCGGAGGATACGAAACGAAAAGTGTAGTGTATACGAAACAAATCCGCCCCATGGAGGGCTGCGTATGATTTGGAGAACGATGCATAAATTTACGAATATTTCATAAGGGACGCAGGATTGCTGAGTTTGCAATTATAATTTCGATTACTTTGGCATAATAAGAATATTGACACAGACCTCCAACAAGGCATTAAACCAGCAAGCTCTTGTTTACATTTCATACAATGTTTGTTAGCAACAAATTCGAAGTATGCTCGCCGGCTCATTTATCCAACCTGGTCTGGAACCTGATGGCCATCATAGTTCGTAGGACTAAGGGATCAGTCTGGCGGGGTCCTTCGATCGACACCCGCTCAAGATGACATCGGTTCAAGGCAAGAACATCAATTATGATATCGATGAAATTTCCCACAGCCGACTAGGGTGGACTAATTAGGCGAATGGGTGGACTTCGATGTCATTTGCGCAGTTGCATTATTTGTGATGGAAAAATTTCGCTTCGACACGACGAGAGACATAACCAAGATTATGGGATAAGTGCATTTTCCTGGTTTTTCAGTCGATAGTTTTCGCAGCCATTTTTAATAATCGAAATGACTTTTTGAGGATCGTCAGAAAACATTCTAGCAAGTCTCCCAATTATAGGTCACTCCAATTACTCCTGCTAATGCCGAATGGGCAAAAACCTCCTTTTTTATATTTCTGCCAAAAACTTCGGTAGTTGGTTTGGGTATCGTTCTGGACCGTATCCAAGCAGGTGGGCACGACATTTAGGAGTTTGTGATTCACAGGCCAATCCCGTGCTTATGGTCACTTTGAAAGAAAAATATGACGTGCATGAAGAATAACATCAAAGGGTACTGAAACACCGATTTCGTGTTTCGTTCTAGTCATAGGTTCAAGCTTCGGGGGTTAAAATCAACCTGTTGAACGAGCGCGAATACAGTTCATTTCGTTTCTGCACACTGCGAAATTTTGGCTAAAGTTCGAAATAATCCGCGGCATTTTAAAATGCACCAATTAACGTCCAATCACATTTGACGAGTAAGGTTTACCGGTCAAAATTTTGCAAAAATAGATGGGTTAATGCAAGAATGCCCTCAAAATTAGAGGCAAAATTTGCCAAAAGCGAGGTATTATAGTTGATTTTTTTTATGAACACGGCGACTTAAGCTTGTTTTACCCTGAATGCCGTAACCGCCATTAATCCACGTGCCATCCAACCAATGATTGGTAGAGAAAGCTGCGCGAGCTATAGCATTTTTTGGCCATAGCGAAGCTGGCCTGGAGCCTCGTGAACTAGTTTACATGTTAGTTAAATTTTAATTCTTGGCCATCTTCCGAAGCTTCGCAATGTTTTATCTGCGTTGGCATACTTTAGGGATTTTAATTGGCCTTTTTCCGGCACCTCCGCAACCTCAGTTCTTAAGTATCGTTAGCCAGCGTTGACGTTGGGTGTGAATTTTGCTGGATATCCAGCAACGAGCCATATGGCTCGTTGGTTGGATTTTTGTTTATACTATTCTTAACTTTGATGGCCAACACCTACAGCTTTTAATCCTGGTTTCATATCTGTACACGTCAAACAGAACCTCTAAGCAACCTTTTTAGATGTTCCATCTGCTGTTCTGGACGACGTTGCCTTAAATCTGGCAAATTACACCACCCATTATGTTATCTGAATTCTAAAGTTCGCTTGAGTGTTTTATAAAGTTGATAGCTTTCATTATCCAGTCTGAATTCATTCGTTTTTATTCACCTACGCGTGACTAGAAAACCGAATAGACAAATAGCGCGTCCCTCTGCCTTATGCCTGTCGTTGGTGTTGTACTAGGATAAGATTCAGAAACCTGCATCTGTTACGCTACACCTACTTACGCAGAAAACCTTCTGAGTAGGAGATTGAGAAGCCCATTTCGCTCTGGAGCCCTGATTATTCCACTACGGTTTTTAGTTGGACATTTCACTGCCTCCGCGCGCCCGGCCTAGACGCACATCGTATTCTGACATCGCACCCAAACAGCCTTTTCTAGATATTTTATTTCCGGAAATGCAAGACAAATCGTCTTGTAGGACACAGGTTCTCTGTACTGATGGTAAATTCAAAATTACAAGTGGATGCGGTCGTCTTTATGGCAACCAGGGTTTGAATGTACCGCCTATAAGTCCTTCATGAGATTTGGCATCAATTTACCCAAATATTGATCCGGGGGTCCGTAAGCTACCTTGTGCTTTACTGCTTTGAACCCGTTTTAAATTTTGATCTTGGCGGTCTGGCGCTGGCCATACTTGCATGCTCATTCATAGAAACTTCGCAACTTTTATAGTTTCTGTTTGGCACCGCGATTGGTCATACCCCTGTTAAAGTCTCCACGAGACTCAGTGCGTGAAGTGCGAAATAGGATTCTACCTTGAACGCTTTTCATTTTAGATGATGAATAGACCCGACTTCGTCCTGTCTTTCTAAAATGGATCTGTTCATCGAAACGCTCACCGGAACTGCATTTGAACTCAAAGTATCCCCCAATGACACTGTTATGTCAATTAAATCCAAGATTCAAAGGGTTGAAGGTGCGTGATAAACAAATTGATATTTTACCACGCATATCCGCAATTGCTATCTCCTGTTTGTGCTGTAGTTATTATCAATAAATAATTATTTATGAATGTTTGGATAAAGCCCAAAGTTCTTGCAAATCCAGCGTGATTTTCCCAAGTTAAGGAGAAATGGTCGCCGACGTATGTGTAAGTCGTTGTCACTTGGGTAGCGCTGCTGTGCGCAAGCTATCCGTAGTTTCTTCAACGTTGGCTGGCGTCTCATATGTATATTATAGTGGTAAGATCTCCACAAGTTTTTTAATTTCCGATTACAGACTTAACGTCATACTTGCTTTCCACAAACATCCCTTCAGCACGCAGCATCTAGTCATTTTTTGAAACCTGCATATGATATCTTATCCAGCTGTTAACCTTAAAATCCCGTTTCCGTGCTCGTATATCGTAATTTAGGCATCCCCATCGGTCAGCAACATCTAATTTGGCAAAACGGGGAATTATCTGATCACCAGTCACTGCGGGACTGCAGTATTCCTGGTGGTGCCACTCTGCGTCTGGTTTTGGGTCTTCGAGGCGGTCCTGTAAATGCGTATCGCACGCCCACTGCCCTGCGGCTCACTCCCCTCCACTTCGCACCACCTTCGTTTGAACGTATTACTCCACCGCCACGGTCATCTTCCAACTCAACAACTACGGGCCCTAACAAGCATTCCGTTGCCATGTCATCACAACAAACTTACGTGTCAAGTAGTCCCGTGATCACACAACCACCCGCAGCCGCGGACGAAATCTCCGATCAAAACAATGCGGCTACTTTTGAGTCCAATACCACAAGGGCTGTGTCTCCGGCGCTTGGCCGTACTAACGTTTCTAGCGAGTCTTCTCACCCCACCGCCAATAGTCGCGATGTGTTGACTCAACCGGATACCTCATCGGCCAACCGGAAGCATATTACGTTCGTCATATTTGACAGCGGTGATAACCTCAATCTTGTTCACGTTATTGACAGGTAATACTACGTTATTTGCGATCATTTATCTTGCATTTGCTACAAGTACTATTATTCCTTTGCTGCCTATTATCATACAAGGACATTGCACACTGCTCTAGAACCTTTATTTTTTACCCGCATTCTACAAGATCCCCCGTGCTCCCACACAGGAACCCGTCTGTTGATCGGTCGTCGGATTCCGCCAATCAACTTAAGCCCACACCCGTTGAGGATAGAGCAGTGAAGGCCAAGTCAGTGGAACGTCATCCCTGTGACAGTGGCAGTTTCGTCAGTGCTCACTCGTTAGCCCGCCTCCAGGCTGAACCTGCGGTTAATAGGGACTCTGAGGATGACAACCAGCCTCTCAAGGCTCCGGCTGTTTTGCTTGGCACTCCATCGGGGTCATCTTCACAAAGTAAGACCCTTACGAATCGAAAACCTCCCGCCTCAAAGATGCCGGCGGCAGTCCCGTCGGCACCCTCCTCTCCTCCATCACCGTCGACCCCCTCCTCGGCTGCAGCAGCCCTTCTGGCAGGACTGCTTTATGCTGCTGGCTCCCGCTCGCGAGACCCTGTCTCCGCTGCCGAAGATGACGTTCTTTCCGCCTCTGATGGAGAACGTTCCGTATTCCCCTGCTCATATTGGCTTCGTCCGTCCTCTCCTGAATGGGATTACGAGGATATTAAAAGTCTCTATCGAAGCGCTGAAGATGAGGAAATTGGCTCTGGTGGTTGTGGTGCCGGTGGGCTCACTACTGACGAATTTCCATTCTACGATGATGTGGATGATGAGGAAGAAAATGGCGCTGATGACGGTGGGCTACAAGGTGATGATGACAGCCTGGCCGATCTCGAGGACTATTTTCTCTACTACCACACCGGAGATATTCTTTTTGGTCCCTCACCAAGGAACTCCCTACTGCGTGACTCCCTCCTCACCGGTGTAGAATCTGTTGTATCGGGCTGCCGGAGTGGAACTCGTACTGGTGAGCGGATCTCAACAGCCAAGCGTGAAGAATGCTCACATCTGGCGGAAAAGGTAAAAAAACTGAAGGCACAGTTGATGCAGGCCCGTGAGAATCGTCTAAAACGGCGAAATAAAGCTACAGGTGACACTGGATCCTCCGCTGTAGAGACACCGGCCGGAGCGAAGGACCAAGATGCGAACGCTACCCTGAATGCTCATGAAAAGTTGACACCTGACCTCGCTGATTCTACGACTACACTCCCAATGAAAGCTGCCAGTATGTTTTCCTGATAAATGCTTTCATGTTTCTAATGCGCATCTGTTCAACACGCGTGTCTGGTGATCCACCTCACCACGCGTTTCCACATTGAATTAAGGGAAGATGTTTAACAGGCGACAGCTCTAGTTAAGCGACAAAAACCAAACGTCTTCACCAAGCAGTGCTAAACAAGCACACGAGGTCTGAACAGTAACGTTGCAGAAGACGGTTTTCGGTTGATGCCCTCATTGTCTGCCTTAAATTCACTACTATACGCACTCAGTATCATGTATCCTGCGCAAGTCTATCCATAAGAGATGTTACTCTTATAGGATATAAAAGTTCGCTCTCTGGAAAGGTTGATATATTTGTCTAACGTTATGGACTCTTGCTCTATCTCATCAGAGGAGGACAATTTGCCTTCTATACTGTTTGCCGAGTTGGCTGCGTCCAGTGTACGCAGGCGTTTGCATGGAATAAAAACGTTCGCTTTCATTTATTCTAAGAACCTTGATAATCCATCGCTGTTTGTCGTTTTGTGTTATCAGAGGAAGTTTGCACCTTGGGCATTTATCAACACCTCATTTTCATCGTCATTACCGTTGTGTTACTCACTTGGAAGAGGCTAAGAATTAGACGGGGTCGTTAAAAGGCCGGCAATAAAGGGTGCCAGTTATGATTTTACTCAGACCTTTTTATTATACGACAGCCAAAGTGAACTGAAGTGACCTGAAACCGAGCGCGATAAGGTCGGATAAACATAGGTGAAGTACTCAGCAGTTTCAGTCGTTGCGAGGCTCCTTGTGTTTTTGAGGCTCTTAATGCTTTATCTTTTGCCACGCGTGGGTTGTTCTTTGTAAGTGTGCCATTTGCACGTTCTCCTTTCGGTTATTCCATTAAAAAATCCCTACTTTTATCTTGAGGCTTTGTTAAATAACCGTGTACATTTTGGAAAACGTGCGCTTTGACGCAGGGTATTTATTGTGAATAACCGTGCCAGCTTGTTTTAAATGTACTTAAATATGAGTTTAGATTAATATTACAATAACGTATGTAAAATCAATGTGCTAACATGAACTTGTACCACCTTGAGTTTGCCAAGGGTGTACTTGACAACATAGACCCTATCTGTATCTAGCCAGCCGTTTTTCAGCCATTGCTAAATGATGGTAAAGATGTCGGACTTAATTTTTTTATTGCTAGACACTTGAAAGATGGGGTGGGACTAGTAGTGGAGCCCTCCACGAGGCCTCTTCATTGATTCACACTCCTTTAAAGGGCTGCCACCAAGTTCTGTTTTTGGTTCGCCCTTTCGTGCTAATCATTTGACACTTCGGGTTTAATAAGTCACAAGTGCTAAGGCCAATTAGTGGCTGCAAATTAGTCGTGCATTTCCTTTTCTGCATTGCAAGTCTGCTACTGAAAGACCTTGGTCTAGCCGTCATTGGCTAGAGCACAACCCGTACTAAGTCCACGCGCTTTCGTGCTTGCCCTCTACGACAAAAGTCGGCACACTAGAAATATTTGCTTAACACCCCCACCATGTCTCAGTGGGTGTGTTTAGCTGAAGCACGATGATGAAAGAAAAGAATGAGGTTAGCCCTACAATACCGTTCCCCATTATTGTCAGTGTGATGGGCGTTTTAGTTGACACGACGTCTTGGGAGTTGTAGTTTGGAAGGTTGTCGACGGGTGGGATATTCTCACTCTGGAGACTGAGGGCGAGGTTTAACTGACCCCCTCTGAATGCGATCTTTATAAAAATTCCTTCGAATATATTTTGGGTCCCTTAATTTTGGTTCGGGTGCTCTACAGAACGCTTAGAAAAGGAAAAGGGAAGGCTTGGTCACCGACCGAACCCAATCGTGTCTTCGGTAACCTTAATTCAGTCACGTCACGGGAACAGGATAAAAAATAGGAAGTAAGTGGGGATTGTGTTGCACAAGTATGCCTCGGTGTGATCAATTTCACAGGCAAGTCATCGTCCTTGCAGACGATCGTCCCCCTCAGCAATGAACTGCCCAGCTGAACTGTCTTCGCATAGTAACGCGCCTAACTAAACGTTAGTCCTTTATCAGAAGTCAAGGCGAGCGGGGAAGAATCCATATTTGACTTTTTATGTTTTACAAAGCCTTGTTGTGTTCGTTCTACTTGGTGCCCTCGTGACCGTTTTAGAAGAGGACCATGACTATACGGCATAAACATCAAAACAGTTCTATAGTGGGAGACTGAACAGTATTTAAGTGTCTCATGTCCCTTTGGCCACCTCGTTAGGTCCAACACGGCCCAAACTCAGCGCACCGCCTGCCACTCCTCGTTTGCGTTCAAGGCACAGTTTACAACGCCCCTACACCAGTTCCATCGAAATGTCTCCTCGTCTGACGACTGTGGGCGCAGGTGACAGAGATGAAGACAACGCTGGAATCCGCACTCCTCCAGTAAGACATTCATTCGACCTCCTGCGCCCCCGTGGCACGGCCCCTCCATCAGTCTCCAAGGTGTCCAACAACTTAAGTGTTGCTCCTGTCCCGACCACCTCACTTCTGCCTCCTCCCTCAACTACCCTGTCTGTATCTCGCAAGCCCTCCGGAATCAGTTGCTTTACTCGTGCTCTGTAAGTTACTTTCCCGCGCTTCATATTTACATCACTTTATTCGATTTAACTGAGGTTATATTTCGATAACAGACTACCTCCTTACCTACTTCCAGACCTCATTATTCCGCTGACTAAGCGAAACAGCCGGATACTTGTTTTAAGATTCCTCAAATAATTTGGCCTACCCCGAGTGTCGAACCAGACTACTCGTCCAACCAACTGGTAGGGAGACGCTGACTACTCTGTTCCGGTGTTTGCAGTTGTTTGTTAGCTGTCCTAAGCCAAACGTTTTGGAGTCACAGATGGGAACTTCACATTCGTTGACATCAGAGTGGTCTGAGCAGCCAGGCATTTAGTTTAACTGTCGATCCGTCGAAGTGAGTACCCATCCACAAGCATCCAATTAACGGACAAATCTGCCAGTGGTTAATGTACCAGACTTACAGATTTTCTCAATGGTAGCGTTCAGTACTCGCCACCAAAATGTAGGACCCATGCATGTTGAATCCTGCCTTACTCTGTGAAGTAAATGTTTCCGTCCTCGGGGCACATCTGACCGAGTTGATAGACCTCGTGTGACATGCGAGTTGATGGGAGAAGCAATAGATCGAATCACACCACTCGGACCTGCTTCCATGGTCGATCCTAGTGGTGTGGGCTCTTTCCTTCTTTCCCTCATACTGTGATTTCCGGGCGCTCATAGTCCCCCCTTCATTGCTCTTAGAACCGGTGAATTTTTCAGTCAAAAGTCAAGTCCATGTAAACAAAAAGACATGCACGTGCTCCTGGTTAGACCGCAGCCCCCTACTCTTAAGCCAGTGTCTCAACAACAAACCGTACTAGGTCTCAAGGCGCTTAGTTCTGCGAATTAAGGCGACAGATTTCGTCTTTTGTCGTGCGTTTGCTATTGTTTACGCTGTAGCTGAATAATGCATGCTAGACCCAGCTGACATCCATCCAGGCCACAACTTTAGCGCGTCGTGATAGGTCCAAGCACGCCAGACCTATTTCAGCGAGGAAATCTCGGATTTGCCACAAGCAAGGATTTACCATGGCCGACCCCACACGCTCTCTTCCCGCTCACACGCGTCTTTGCCGGCCTACTGGTGATGAGCTTCGGGGCAGTGGCTCGCCTGGCGCCAACTCCCGCCTAACGTCTGCTATGCGCGTGTTTGGAAATAATTATAGATAGGAATGCAATCACGTTTTGGATTTTCACTCGAACCCATCGACAGCTACAACAGCAGCTAGGAGTGGTGGACGCACAAGGGGTGCAATATTTGTAGGATGCGGTTGCCATGCCACCACATACATGCCATAATTAGTAGCCCTCCCCCAAATTAATCGCCAGTGCTCGTGCTTTGTGCGATGCTCGCTTGTTTGTCCGCATATGAGTCATTAATTGTCGCAATTTAATCACCATTATTGATGGCGTGATACTCGGCCGTTTGGTCCATTGCTGCTGCTACTGGAATCAGTGTTTGTCCGTGCGTTCCCTGCATGACCAATTACTGCCCAGAGAAGGTCCCGGTAGTAAATATGGTGGGGAAGCTCATTGCGCCTGCTAATAGACTGCGGGTAGGAGAACAATGACTCAAACAGTTCACGGCTCACGCGGTTGTCACCCATCGGCAGAATTTGGACGTTGTCGACGCTAAAGATGTTGCCGAGTCCCGTCGAGTGAACTCCAATTTGGGAGATGGCGTCATTCCTTCTCCCTGCTGCTGTATGTTTATCCGTCCATATCCACAGTGATCTAGTTTCCCCGACGTGGTTGCCTTGCTCGCTACTGTGCTAGGTCCGGTAAACTACTCCAGACTTCATTATTTGGCGTCTGGCCTGCGTACAACTTTAACACCAGAGCGGGAACGTCGCCTGTACTCAAATGATGTTCATTCCAAGCTGCGGTCACCACCACGAGTAATATAGACATAGTTTCCGCTATGTAACGGCCAAGATCTTGCCTCTTATGTACGTTACACTACCCCCGAGCACCGACAATACAGTCTCACGACGGAACGCGTGCAACTTTTTTGGGTTTAGTCGTAACAGTTCTCTCTAGTTATCATTGACTCAGCCCTGGGTCGTGCTGATCAATGATGCTGACATCGACAACAATATCACGATAACCTGTAAGTGCAGTCCCCACTGACTTAGGTTCCCAGTGCATAAGCGAAGTTTGGCCTAATTACTCAGAGCGATTGCGACAGCATATCGACTAGGGGTGTCACTGACGCGGAGATGGAAGAGGTGAGAACACTTCTCAACACCTGACACCTTAATCCGGCGCCAGCCATAATCGGAGAAGCGTGCCTCCGAGAAGCAGGCAACATCCACATTGTGCTGGGCTAATGCACAGCATTAGCCGTTTTTCCTCCGCGACAAGTCCGCTTACCTCGGAACTGACTCTCTAAAGGCCTTTATGTTGCCTGCCACCCGTGAAACTCACCGAATGAGCAGCATATCGGCTGCTAGACAGGATCCATCTCGCCCAGACTGGTTGACATATGCGTCTTTGACGGCGCCAAATAGGCTAGAAGTTGCCGTCCCAGTCCCCCCAGGTCTTTTTCGCCAGTACTCTAACAGAATTGCTTATCGTTCTTGCTTGCGCGGGCTCTAACCGGAAGCTCCGAAGCAGAACAGGGTTCCCATATTTCGTTCCGCAACTGAGCCAGATTTATAAACGTCACCGCTGGGTTACTTTGAACCTTTGCGATCTTAGCCACTAGCTTTGATAGCATCCTGAAGTCGATCTACTCTTATTGGTAATGCGAACGTATAACGAACTGTGACATCCGCAAGCCAGGACGCGATGCCGCATCAGCCCCTATTTCCAATCTCATCTCATGATTTTGGTATTGCCAGGGGAGCTGAATTGGAACTGGTGTTGCAGACTCTATGCCCCCTACCCCTCGCACCCTAGTCATCCACACTACTGAAGATGATCCTCCATTAACGAACTACTGCACTTTATCGCGATGCAGTCCGTCCATCCTCCGGGCTCAGCCTACAGTACATTTCGCGTCAACTCGTTGGGAGGCGGTAATAGCGGCCGGCATGGTCAGCCAACCACGAATTCCTTGTCCGCGTTTAACGCCAGTCCAGTACCGGCATATGCACACGCGCGCGTTGATTCACACAAGGCGGATTTGCATAAACGCGTAATTACCAGTGCCCTCGAGCATGGGAGGCAAGTGCGCGTAACACGTCTACTAATAGTACTGCAGATGTGCTGCCCTGTTTCTCTGCCGCGTCCGCTTTCTCTGACGACGACAACAACAGAAGTTTCGTCGGTCACCGCCGTAGTTTGATGTTTCATTTATTTGCGTTCGCAGATGCTTCTTGGTTTCTTGAGGTATTATCAGTGATTACTAGCTGGAGGTACCCCTCTGGTTTGTAGGCGTTTAAGTGCCGGTTCTGTAAAGGATCTTTAATTGCTGACGGCTTCCTCCACCCAAGCTCTGATCGGGTACATGATACTAATTTTTTTTCAGGTTTAGCCCGAGGATAATTCGTCAGCTTCAGCCTTACTTTTTACTCATTTTGCGTTCTACTGTGAAAATCCGAATTGACTGCCGGTCCTTAAGGACTACTAATATGCGGCTTGTGTCGGATATCAAGTCACGCAAGAGGGGCCTCCCAATTTGATCCATTTTCAGGCCAGAATACGGACACTTTGTTTCATATTGTTTGCCAGTGTAGGTCTTTTAAAGACGGCCGTATAGTGAGGGACAGTCAATCGTGTGGGCGTCTTATCAATGTATACAAGGAAGGCTGAAGTGACTGGTTCTAGCTTACTTGCCGTTGCCAGTCTTGGGACGATCAGATATTTGAAATTGGACACAGTTGGTTACTTCTCCAATTCATTCACCCCCCAAACTACTTATTCGACAAACCGTTTCCACACCGGGCTCTGAATGGTAGTTGTTACTATGGCAAAAGAACTCGATACCACTTTTCATATTTTTAAAAGCTGATTCAGTTTGCGTTCACGACGATTGCGCGAAGGTGTATAGCTTACTGGCCGTGTAAGCGGACCTCAGTGCCGTCTCTTCCGGGTCCGACATCTCAGTCCTGCTCATCCTGTCGATGTTGTTAGATATACGCCTTCCGAAAATGACCTCTAAATGCTTAATTCGATTCTGCGTCCGGGCTGCAGGCTGTACCGACTGCACACTAGGGAGATTTTCCTGACTTTGCTCATATGTGCTTCAACTGTACCATTCTCTGCCCCCCCCTCCAAATGTGACATCAGAACTGACAGTTCTATCGCAACCACTCGACAACGCCGATTCGGTACAGTTCAGCCCCCGGACATCTCTCGCATCAGCGACTCCATATTTCCACCGCTGTTCCCCACCAAACAGACGCCGCCGGGGATAGAAAGCGGAGGGGGCCGGCTCTCAAGGCCCTTGTCCATTCCAAAGGTCGCCTCCCGAGAGACGACTGAGTCGTCGCGCAAGAATCCCCCACCAGATGCCTCACAGAAGGAACTGCGATTACCATTGCTTTCACCGGGCCATGTTTCGCTCCAGAGCCAAGGTCTTGCAAAAGGTCAGCATTTCTATTTCTGTTTCTGCGCTTTCATGACTGTAGCCACCGTACCGGACCATCCCTGTTGCCTAGGGAAGTGCCGAATTTGTAATAACAATTAGTTTTTAACGCTGTTTATCGCTCATTTCGAAATAATGACCTTCACTTGGTGACGAAAATGAAATTTTCACTCCAGTTGGTGGAAACTTACTCTTGAGCGGAAACTTGCAGTCCGCCTGCCTGTTTCACTTCCAATGAACAACTGTAGCCTTGAAGTTGAAGCTGCAGCTGTTTCTGTGCACGGTACATAACTATTTCTGAACCGAAAACGACACGAAGAATGGGATTATTTTCCGAGGGTTTTGCTTGCGCATTCGACGCATCCTCTGGACCAGTATTTGTCACCAACTACATATTTGCTTCGAACACTCAAAAGCTATGGGTTAATGGAAACTGCCGGAAATAAGATTCATGTATATCCCTAGCCTAGAAGACCCCAGAGGCTGAAGTTATTGAGAAGTATTTACCAAAACCAAGTCATACTTCTACAATATCCCTTATAGACGCCGTAAGCGTCATTGATAAAATTTGCATCAGCACTTCCCCCGTGCAGTAATTACTTCGTGCTACCTGGGCATTGTGCGTTTTAAAAAATAAGCCGCGTATTGTGTTTTGGACACCGGGAGGTTTAGATGCAATTTAAGCAAAAAATGGCTTCCTTATTACAAGGGGGACTTTCAGTGCTTATCTAGAGAAAGCGGCCACAAATCGAAGTTCTATAGGTCCAAAACCCCACTAACATACTTTCAACTTCCTAAAAGCTGCCGATATTTCATTTGTAGGCTCTCAGTGGCAATCCACTTCCAGGGCAGCAGAAGAGCCGGTAGCACCCAAATCGCGGCACGACATGTCGGAGCCGCCCACAAACCGCAAACCCACGCAAGTCAAGGCCAATCGCTGCGCGAGCTGTAATCGCAAAACAGGTCTCTCCAACTCCTACACATGCAGGTGGGTAGTCTGTGCTCAAAAATAAGTCCACCACCACCACCACCACCACCACCACCACCACCACCACCACCACCACCACCACCACCACCACCACCCCTGAAAGGACACTTTTTAAATCCATGTGTTCTGGCTTGATGCCGAAAGAAATGTCGGCTTGTTCAACCCTCAGTACCGAGAACTTGAAGCAGCACAACCCTTGTTTGCATTTGATAGTAGTTCCGTGCACCGTATGCGCATGACCTTTTTCCGACTCGTCACTACTGCCATGTCATTGTGCTTATACGCGAACCCACCAGTCCGTGCGGTGAAAACTTCGAACAGTAACTGTATGCAAGTGCGTTCTCGGCGACTTTGGAATGTCCCGCTAGCTCTGTTGCGGGTAGTTTTCGCATATTTATTTGACAAAATGCCACTCCGGTAGTTGTGTGCAGAAGTCAGTAAGTTGGCTTACTTATTGACTGTTTAAAAACTGCCTGTACCCACTCAACAACAGACATTTGGCACAAAAGACAGGCCAATTTGACAGCATTTTCAAATCCTCACAGTTCCCCAACGAATTTTGATCTGCCACTGAGCTGAGCCCTCAAATTTCACTGCCGGTGAGATTCAAGGTCTTCCATAAAAACCTATTGTCCAGTAAGGCCTCTTGTTGTTTATTTTTGTCGCCTATGCTGGCCTCGCATGCTCACCAATGTCAATCATGAGGTCTGCTTCGCCAAAAAACGTGGTTTGGTGCGTGGGAGTTTTTGTCTGACCGCCCGAGCCTTTTGGCGACTCTGACTAGCACGCGCAAGCTAAGTATACGGGGTAATGCGCCCACATTCTTGCTCTCCGCGGAGGCTCTCTCCGTGTTACAGGCGCACGCTGCGGTCGTTGCGTGCATCTAGCATTTTAAGCCGCTGAATTATTTACTCATATAGGTGTTTGCCGGGCTCTGGTCATTTTCACAGCAACATTCCCGATACCCACACACAATTAATGTCTCGAAAATTCCGTGTTTCGAGCTATTTTATCAGTAGCTATCAATTTGCATGTATGGCCATAGAAGGTTTGGCATTCTAGGCTAATCTAAAGGCTGCAGGCACAGCCCAATTACAACAGCATTGGAGCCGTCACTAGTCTCCACACCAACACTATCACAGGTAACGATCAGGTTGCACCATTGAGCTGGGGTGAATCGTTGTAGCTACCACAGTGCCCTGAGAGCGGTTGTGTACCTACGGAATAGTGCGGTCCTTTGGAATGAGGATTAGGTCACAGTGGCTCCTTCCTGCTGTAGTCTTTTAATGACAACCCTTGGCAATACGATGTTCGAATGAATGAGGCATGACTCCCGTCGGTTAAAGGTGGAGCGCCTTGTCAACAAACGTGCCCGGTCCCGTCTTTATTTGACCGGAATCGAATGGTGTATGGGGAGAGAGGGTAAGACAAGTGTTGCACAAGTCTATCTCCCTCTCCCCCTCCATAAATCAGAAGGTTCCCACTGCCCTCCTGGGGTTACTAGTGTTCCGTCTGAAGTTGAATGGACGTACTGTCAGGCCTACTGAAAATGAGGTCGGGGATGGTGACCGATTTACCATTTAGCCCCCTGTTCGCCATACGTGTGTCCGGGTCCCAACAACTCGTTCTTATGCATGCCAATCGGCCACGTAAACAGCCTCTGAAGTATGTGAGAAGAAGGGGTAACAGAGAGAGAGAGAGAGGGGCGCCTGCTTGCTGTGTGGACGTAACAAATGTGTGTGTAGGTACGTCCGATTTCCACTTAATGTGCCACCTCAAAGACATTAATATTGCACTTTTGTGTTCGATGACTTAGCGCAAACTATTAATCGCTCAGTGTGACGCTGGCGCCATCTTATATTGCCAAAAGTGTATACGTCTGAGAACTTTGGTTTCAATCAGGACGGCAAGACTGCAGACTGTGGGGTGTATAACTGCGACTGATTACTAATCTCGTACAATCCCCACAGTCTTTTGTCCGTATAATGGTTACCCCACATAACCGTTTTGATGCAAATCTCTTCCCTGACTAAGTTGTGCATTAGGGCCTTTGGTCCAGGGAACGAAGACTACAAACCTGGCTGAGTGTTCGGGCGTTAGATACTATCTTTGTGTGTTTTCTCAAGTCAACCAGATCTCCGAGTTGGGATTGGTGACACCATGTGTTTGGACTACTGGCTGTTTGTCATTCTGCTGCCACCTACGAGGGCTCTAGGGTATATCTCCTAAATAGAAGTGAGCGTCCGTATTTGATCGCGCACTCAATCCAGATCAGCGAACGCCGCCCGCCGCCTAACGACATCGTCTCACTGAAGGGAGTGGAATACGAATTACTGTGTTACCTCCCAGCGGCCAGTCACTATTACGTTGCAAGCTAACGAACAATCCGCGTTATATTCCGAACAGAATGTGTACTTTCGTCGTATGCCTTATCAGAAAGCCACAGCGAAGGAATCTTAGCCCCATACTTCTCGGTGACGTCAAGATAGTCAGCTTTGCGCTGTGTCCCTCAAAGCCGATTCCCTGTTTCACCGAAAATATATTTTCCTCCAAGAAGTAGATCCGTCCGTCGTCATGGGAATTGTGGTAGTTCCTGAAGTCTACCCAAATTGCGACCCTAATTCTTTCAGCTGTTGCCTATGCGACTTCATGGTCGTCCAACTGCCCTACCAAGTTTCTAGTTCGTTGGTCGCGATGACGGTGTTTGTGCATGTGTAACGAGCCCAGATGTCAGTGCGGAAGGCGGCTTTGGCAATTGCTACAGTTAGTGACCTAACTGATGAAATGTGTCGAAATTTACAAATGATTGCCAGTCACTCGCAAAGCGACACCATTTCATGAGTCCGATTTCTATGTTAATTAAGTACAAGTTTAAAAGAATTAAAAACATAAAAGAAACATTAACGGCAGTGTTGCGTTATTTAGAAAATCCGATTTGTTTTGAAAAGCGCAATATCCCGAAAATGTCAAAAATGGCTCTAATTAAGTAAAGTTCGTTTTTAGATGTATGGAATGTATTCTCATACCAAACACGTAGTAAATATGAAAGTAGACATAAAATAACGTATAAAAACAATGTTTTAGTGAACTTTACATCTAAATATCGTCTAATAAGTAGTGTGACTTCATATAGGACGGCTTTTCAACCGCCTACATTCTGGGTGTAGATTCCAAAACAGTTTTCCAGTGTTTCATAACTTCGCCTACTTTTTAGATTAAAATCAGATGAGTTTCAACAGCAGAAGCTGGATTTTGCTTGATTTCGCCGATGGGGACGTCGTAGGATCAAAAGTTTTCATAAGGTGGCATGCCATGAGGCCGGTTGGTGCCTAATAAATTTAAATAGAACTGACAGGCGTGATCGTAAACATACCATTTTGTGTTTATAGAGAGAACTTTTCTTCCGTTAAATTAATGTATACACTTCTTTCGTTTTGGATTACGTTGAGTTTCAGATCAGCCTCGAAATATTGCTGAATACTTCATGATTTTCAGTGTTTTCATCCGATCTTCCATAAAGACAGATTCTGAATTACCTGTCTGTTAAAAACTAAATTAAGATTTTTCTTGAAGGCATTTACCGAATTAGTGAGTGTTCAGGTGCTCCTTTTCACGAAGATGGTCGTTCAGGTCACATTTGAAGACTAATTCAAACATCGAACTTCATTTTGGTGAAAAATGTCTGTCCACAACGAAAATCAGCAACGAATATGCCTTTGATCAATAAAAAAAAAACTTTCCTTAATAAGTTACCTCTTTAAAAAATGCTTTATTACTGCACTCGGTTGGCGGATCTCTGTGTACTTTGCCTTTTTGGACAGTGAGGCCAAGTAAAAATTTGACACTTTTGGTCGTTTCTTTCGCGTTCCTGAGAAATACTAGTATATTTCTACCGTAAATGTAAGAACATGCCTTTTTCTATATATTGAGGCCATTTGCACTGTTTTTGATCGCTTTTAGACTCAGTTCTTCAATTATGAATGCACGGCAGAGCGCCCATATAAATACTGATATTTTGCTGAAACTATTAATGTTTTGCTCGTTCTATGTCTGAATAAGATATGCACAGAAGCTAAACTACACGACAATTAGTGTTTCATATGCTTAAAGCTGGAAATAACCATTCCGTGGTGGTCATCTATGCGACATCAGGTAGAATTTTCCAAACGGCAAAAAAATTTCAGCCCACTTAAACGAAGGAATCTCTATCTTCGTTATTATTGCACTTTAGGGCACCAAATCGCACAGATCTGCTAATTTGACATTAAGGAATTGATAAAACCTCTGGTTTTCTTAATATAACCTTTTTGTTAGCAGGTTGATAACCATGGTTAACGTTGGACATGAAATAAAATTTCTAGTCCGGCTAAATCTGTTTATTAAAACTCTCGAGGTTAAATTACTATCCTTTCAATGAAAAAGTCGCTCAGATGCGTAACTGCAGTCTAGGACATGTATAAGCCTAGGAAATTGCACGAATATATTCCAACGTCCATTTTCGCTAAAATTTACCGATATTCTACTTCATATAATTACGTAAACATAATTTCTGCACAAGAAAAGGACGTTTCATTGAAGGACGTGGGTGAGCGAACAAAATGCGCCACGTTAAAGACGTTCAGAAATGTCCTAACCAGTTTTCGTTATCAGATTTCATGAGATAGGTCACGTACTGCATGCACTCAACCGTTCTATGTACAATAAGAGACTAAAGAGGGGAAACCTAATTACAAAGATAGACTGGGGCAAGATGAGATTGTCCAAGAGAGGTTGGCGGAGGCACAGGGATCCGGCGAAAACCGCGACAGAGGTCCCACGTCCGAAGGTTGGCGGCCTGCCACGGGATCGTCGGAGGTTAATCCTCGCCCGTATTTATAGCTTCTCCAGGGACAAAGGACGTCAAGGTTGAGTCCGCCATTGTTGATTGGTTGAGGGTAGGTCGGGGGGGGGGGAAGTTAAACAAACTTAAGCTAGGGCTATTTTGATTAATTTAGGGTTATATTAATTTATTATATGCATACTTTGTATAAGAAGCCAAATTGCGACTAAGTACCTGGCGTATAAATTTGGAAAAGTTCGGCGCCCTCCCCCTTTAGGGGCGCGCTTTCTAGAACCTTCTACAAGATGACGGCACGTGGTCTGGCTTTCTAGAACTTTTTTCACATGCCTGCTAGCAGCCATCCGTCGGCACTCCTGTGTGTGAAAGGCGCAGCGGCTATGTGTGACTCAACCCTCCCCCACGTGAAACAACTGCTCTGCTCTCACCCAACGGCGGCAACGGCGTATGTGCGCTATTGGCCGTCGTTCGGCCTAGCCTGCATGGACAGGATCATTTACTAGGTTACTCACCGTTTAGTTGAATGTTTTCGGTTAGTTGTCGGCTCTAGGTGTTTGAAAATGGGGAGGGACGGAGGAGGGGGCTGGAGAACAAGAAGGAGTCACCAATTAACGCAAAAATGCCCGGATGGGAGGAAGGTATTACGGTGGATTGGGACTTCTTTGTTTCCGTGGCTGATGCTGCTGCTTACGCGTTCGGAGTGTAATCAGCGGGGAGAATCCACAGGCGAGGTTCAGGGAAACCCGATCTTTTCGGAGACTCACAGCCTCTGACGTGCAAGACCCATGGAGAAAGCGCTTGTCTAGTTGCGTAGCGCCAACGGCACTTATTCTGGGAATGCGACTTGTCCATACCTACCACTGACCGGTTTTTCTTCATGCGATGTCCATTCAAATAACATCTTGTCTACCCGTTTATTAATGCTGCCTACGAAGTATACAACATAGCCCACATCCATTGCAGAATTTCATGAGTCCTATCAGCAGTCTTCTTAGTAGCACTGAAGAATGTATGGTTTTCCCTACACGGAAAATGCGCAGCTTGTAGTTTGTAAACGCGAAATACGAATGCAGCGGCAGGTCAGGCTCAAAATTATTTCGGAATTGAAAAACCTTTTTATGATCAGAAGATACCATTGGTTTGAGTATGCAATTTGAAGACGTGATTTGCTACCAAATGAGCGCAGGGAAGAAAATTGTAACACATGTTTTCTAAAAATATATTTGAATGTATAGGGGAACAGCAAAGCACTGGAAAAGTGCACACTACATAAGTACTACTTTTTACCAAGGGTTGTTTTTGCAGGCAACCAAAAAATGCGCGTTCAAAAGCTGGCATTTTGGCGTAATCAAAGTATGATAGGATTATGCTACATGATGCATATTACGATCGCACTTGTTTAATGCTTTGTAATCGTACTTACATCTCAGAATTTTGGTCAACATTTTCTGAGCGTCTGGAAACTAAAATCGATTACCTTACAGCTACGAAATGTCACATTTTCGGTGCTGATAAAAACGCAGAACTTAATAAAGCTATGCGGTATACTTCTGATCGAGTGAACTCTTTGGTTATGGACAAGTGGCTTATCGGCCAACTGTACACCTTCATTGAGCTCCAGGGGTAGAAACGTTTAGTTTTCTTTATATCTACGGCTTGGTCAGACTTGTGTATGCTAATGCAGTGTTGCACACTCATATACTTAGTGGGAATCTGAGAAGAGGTTGACCCTGCGTTCTGAAAGCCTTTTTTAGCACAACAGGCCTAGACTCAGTCCTCAACTACTAGGACCCTTGATTCTATAGCCAACTGCACCCAATCCCTAATGTCAGCTATTTTCGGCCTGCCGTCGGAATATTGCTGGGTGGTAAAAGCTGATATACTGGAACTGGTCTCGCCTTTTCGGTCGACACTCCACGATCAGTGTTCGCTCGTCGCTATGCAAACGTTAGATTGAGCTTAAAGGCGGATCAGAAAACCCAGACTCGGGTCTGCCATCGGCCCTAGCCCGCGAGCGCAACTCCCACGTTGACGTATGTCCTCCCGGCCGAGTAATTTACGCAATGTCCAGTTGCTGTGCCTATTATTCTGAGTTGGGGAGAGAGGAGTGGGGGGGGGGGAGGGCGTGTCGAATCCATCCGCGGCCATTAAATACGTTTTTCTTGGTGTTCCGTATTGGCGATTCGTCGAGACTCGTCAGTATAACCCACAGGTCCATCTGCCTGCCTAAATTTTGCTGACGTAACTGTCTAGTGGTCGGAAGCCTTGGCTGTCTTATTTTTTTATTCATAACAACTTACGCAATCTGTTTATTGGTCTGTGCTAGCAGACAGTGTTCCGTATTCCTCCGACCACGAAAATGTGTTTTGCATACGTCAACGGAGCAAATTTGTTTACTGACGGAACTTCCCAGTTAACGTGATGTGGCGGGTGCACGCCCTGGCGAAAATTATATGACGTACTGTCTGATCTCTCAGAGTCATTTTAACTGCCGATGTCCATGCCCCCTGTATCTAGCACGATGTTTCTCCTGATCCTCCGTTTCTCTCCTGTGGCTTTTTAATCAAACATCGTGTGCCATGCTACACCAAACTTGCCAAACTTACGATAAATTCAAAATAAACCAGAAGCCGTCCCCAACTCGTTGTCCGAATCCAGGAAACCTGGCATAAACGACTCTCTTTGAAAGAAAAAAAGATATAAGGTAGCGATGTTAAAAAAGTCATCTTCTGATGGTGCGTCTTAAAAGGGGGACGTTTTGGTTATTAGACGACAAGTCGTTGACTAAGGTTATTTCTGGACTGTATTCTGTTCTCAAAAGTAAGTCACAGAGTAGCTTTACTAGTATCAAGACTTCGATCCAGCGACCTACGCATGCACCTTCCCAGTCTAAATTGCGTGGGCGGCAAAGTCGACAACAGAAAGGTAATTTAACTGCATATTTGACGTGCATGTCGCGGGTGCTCTTTATGTATTCGCTTAAGTATATAGGTTGGCGGTGTGGCCAAACAAAGAGCTGTCAACCAACTCCGTCACTCGTTTTTGCGTATCAAATTGGTAGGTTTACAATGCAGGCTAAATAATCGCTCCACCTCACCTCACATACTCGGGTGGAAGAACCAGCGTCGAAATGCAGTGACGTATTTCATATCCACTTACCTCGCCGAACTTAGCGCCCACCCCAAGACAAACAGACACCGAGGCCTAGGGTTTTTGTATTACGCTTATTGACGTAAGCAACCTCTCCGTTCTGGTGGTTTTACGCGACGTTACACTTTTTCCTTCAGGGAAATCTTTCCGACAGATGTTCCTTGCGGGTTACTTACTTACTTACAGGTACGCAAATTTGAATAGTGTCCGGCGTATCCCCACCTGAACTTCACGCATCTCTCTTCCTGGGTTTAGCCACTTCACTATGCCCCC